GCTGGAAAGCTGCCTGATGGAAAGGGACCTTGGTGTACTGATGGACAGTGGGCTGAATATGAGCCAGCAGTGTGTCCAGGTGGCCAAGAAACCCAACAGCATCCTGCCTTGTATCAGGAATGGTGTGATGAGCAGGACTAGGGAAGTCATCCTGGACATTGGTGATGCCTCACCTCGAGTGCTGTGTTCAGTTTTGGGCACCTCAGTACAGAAAGGACACTTAGGTGCTGAAGCAGGTCCAAAGAAGGGCAACAAGGCTGGTGACGGGCTTGGAGAACACGGCCTACAAGGAGAGAATGAAGGAACTGAGGCTGTTCAGTCTGGGGAGAAGGAGGCTGAGGGGAGACCTTATTGCTCTCTTCCAGTATCTGAAAGGTAACTGTGGTGTGAGTGGAATTGGTCTCTTCTCACCGGTGATAGGATGAAGTGAAATGGCTTCAAGTTGTGCCAGGAGAAGTTTAGGCTGGACACTGGGAAAAACAACTTTACAGAAAGGATTGTTAAGCACTGGAATTGGCTTCCCAGGGAGGTGGTGGAGTCACCATCCCTGGATGTGTTTAAAAACCATTGGATGTGGTGCTCAGGGACATGATTTAGCGGAGGGCTGTTAGAGTTAGGGTAGGATGGTTAGCTTGTGGTTGGACTCCATGATCTTTAAGGTCTCATCCAACCCAGCAATTCTATGATTCTATGATCAAAACTGTAAAACTGAACTGCCACACTCAGCTGCTCTCTTACTTATGCTTTTCAGCTGTATCAAAGTTATATCAGTATGAATTACTACCAGAAAAAAAACCCAAAACAACTACATCAATATTATGCCATACGGAATCACTGAGCAGCTTTGGTTAGAAGTGACCTTAAAGATCGTTATGCTCAAATCCCTGTTGTGGGAAGGGCTGCCACCCACTAAATCAGGCTGATAAACTAATAGAAAAAACTGAGAAGCTAAAATGCCAGTTAGAATGCTGTTCTACACTGTTCCTAGTTTAAGCTAGTTATGTGTAACAAAAACAAACAAACAAGTTATAAAATGTAAAAACATTCTCTTAATGTTAAACATTTAAAGTATGCTGCTAAATTTTTAATTAGCAGTCCTTTTAGTTATCCACATCCCTGTCATACAAAAGGAGGAACAGAAACAATTGCAGAAACAGATTTGAGGACGGTCCCATTGACTTACCAGCAAACATGGGCAGGCAGTCTGCCTGGAACTCCTTGCTATGACTTTTTTCTAAATTAACAACTTGCATTTGCTTCTGTTATTACATGCATTTCAATCTCCATCTCAATTTTTTAAGGAACTCTGTATTCTCTCTCCCATGAAAATTAAACATTTATGCCAATAGATCTGAACTTAAATAATAAAAATGCAACAAGAAAACCTCTGAGATTATACATACTAAATTAAGACCGTAGAGCAGACTTTAGATAGCAAACTGCTGCCTAAAGACTCAAATACCACCTTCTAGAGCATGCTCACCTCCAGAAGCACTAAAGGAATCTGACATACAAAAATCTTTTTACGATTCAAAACCAAACAGACATAGCCTGACTAGGAACTACAGTACTGTTTGATGTACTCTTACAACTGTCACACTAGCATAGCAGTATACAAAGTAGGACTGCCCAAGACTTCCCAGAGGTTTCTGAAAAGTAGCCAAGCTTTGTCAGGAGCATTAAATTCACACTCACAGAGCAGCATGCAACCTTGTTTAACTGCTGGAGTCCCCAAGCAGGGATAACTAAAAACTGAATACCTCAGTTTGCTCAAAAACAATCACAAGCCCTATGCAGGAAACCCTCGTCCCTTGGAAACAAAGGAAGCTATCCATATAGCAGATGATCTCAAAAACAGACAGAGAGAGAAGGCAGATCTGCCACTGGGAACCTCTTGTGGTCACACTGCATTTTAATACAAATTCACTTCAACATGGATTTTCAATGAGTGGCCTTGAGTACTGGGTGCAGCTTTGGGCACCACAGTGCAAAAAGGACATACAGCTATTAGAGAGCATCCACAGGAGGGCTGAAAACATGGGGAAGGGCCTGTAGGGCAAGGTGTGTGAGGAGCAACTGAGGTCCCTCGTTGTGCTCAGCGCAGAGCAGAAGAGCTGAGGGGAGGCCTGATGGCGGCTGCAGCTCCTCACAGGGAGCGGAGGGGCAGCGCTGAGCTCTGCTCTGTGTGACAGCGACAGGGCCCGAGGGAACGGCATGGAGCTGTCAGGGGAGGGCAGCTGGGGGTCAGGGAAAGGGGCTGCAGCACAGCGCGGTGGGCATGGAGCGGGATGCACAGGGCTGTGGGCACGGACCCCAGTGCCAGAGTGCAAGGAGCACCGGGATACCACCCTCAGACACAGGGTTTGAATGCAGGGTGGTGCTGTGTGGAGCCCGGAACTGTACTCGATGATACCTGTGAGCTCCTTCCAACTAGGAACATTGTGGCATTATGGTCACAGGCAGGAGCTAGGGAACGTCCAGCAGATAAGGGACTCAGACTGGTTGAAGGCTTCAAGCACAGTACTGCAGGCTGCACATACAGATATCATCACCCACATCAGCTACAGCACACTCCCATAGATGTTATATGAATGGAATCCTTCAGCTGCTGCTGATGCCATGGCTTCCACATGAACATAATAGCAAACAAGCACTGAGAACAAGCACAACCAAGCAGATGAAGCCCTCTGAAGCACAGAGAGGTCCAGGGAATGCACAAGCAGGAAGATCCATTAGATCATCTCAACTCATTTCTATTATTAGACCACAACATTTTTCCTAATTACTTTGATAACTTTTTTTTCATTTGAGTGCTTATTCTAGGAGGGTACCAAAAGCTAGAATTTCAAGCCAAGTTCACAGCAAGATAACTACACAAGTGCATAAAGATGATTGTCTGCACTTAGCTTTTGCTTCTTGTTACTGGTTTATTCTTTTAAAAAAAAAAAAAAAAAAAACACAACAAAAAACAACTTCTTACTGGAATTTGAATTTCAATCTCCTAAGTAGCTAAGCCTCTTTTCCTATGCTGAAAGGTATTCAGAGTTAAAAGCTTGAAGAACAAGAAGCTACTGGTTGCTCCCCTGCCACCAGGGCACATACACGATACTCTAAAACAGAGGACACTGGCAGCAACACAGCTCCCTTGTTGTCTCAATTTGTCCGTTGGTTCCCTTGGTCCCAGAAAAGAAAAGGAGACTCAGGGGAAAGGCACAAAAGGAAAAAAACCAACAAGTTTGAACACCTTCCACGACTGGGATTTCTCCCACAGAAACTTTGTATTACAGTCTCCCAGAACTGTCTACCAATAGCTGGGTTGATGGCCAGCTAACAAAACAGTTCCCTGTTCCCTGAGAAACTTGGTGTCAGAAGTGCTTGGGTCTCTTGTATCACAAGAATAAAGAGCAGGTAAGGATGGTCTACCTATCTGCCAAACACAAAGAACTATAGCAACAGTAAACACAGCAGAGAGCCCACACATTTTTTAGTCGATATTTTAATAAATCCTTCAGTAAGAGCTGATGGAGTCAAGCAAATCCTCAGATAAATGAGCAGACACAGTGCATTTGCAAGCGGTACAAGGCAGCCTACCATGACTATGGGCAGAATTTCCCTTTTCTTCATCAAGTACACAAGCCATCTTAAGTATGTGAGTGGAACCCAAGCATATTGGAATAGATTCAATACTTTTTTTTTTTTAATAATACCTGTATTCTCTTCCATGCTTTCTGCAAGCAATGCTTGCAAATAAAAATAACACTCCTGACAGAAGGAAATGCATAGGAGCTAAGGCTTCATCCAAAGTCAGGGGAAGCATCCCACTTTTTCCCAGTACTCACACCATGAGTGTGAGCTTTGTGCTCTCACACCCTATGTGTCATAGGCCTAAATAAGATACTCAACATCAAGAAACCACCCCAGATTAAGCTTAGGTTGCAGTTCCTCTCAGAACTAAGGAAAAGTCATCAGGAAAACAGGACCCAGCAACACAGTATCAATAGCATAGAAATAATGGCCGCAAAGAGAGCTCTTCTACCCCAATAAATTAAAAATAACAATAGTCTTAGGTAGAATCAACACAATAACTACAGATTTTAGGCAGTGAAATGCTACAAGTGCCCTTGCACGTGAACATGTACACTAATTGAATAATAAAATGTTTTCCAAAAGAAAAATGAAAAACAGCCTTCAAATAAAAGCTATTATAGTATCGTTGAATTGAAGGCTGCTGTGAAATACCTTTTCATATATAACCAGACTAAAATAAATGTGATTACATAAAAGCATAAGAGGCGTTACACAGCTTGTAAGCTAACATTGACTCGAAGGAGGCTGGGGAAGAGTAGGAGCTGAAAAAGCTTCACACCAGAAATTCCTGACACTGAATTGTTAGAGAGTGACAATTCTGGAAATGGGAATTTATGGTGGTTTTGGAGATTCAAACACAATGCTGAGGGTAACTGAATGCAGACCTCTGAAAGCACAGAGGGGGGAGAAAGAGAACGGGGTACACTTAGAGCTCTTGTTTTCCATACTTCAAGGAGCAGGACTTCAGTCAGTTCGAAGTTGTTCACTGCTGTCACGCAAACACCTCAAGGTAACCTGGGGTGACTTTCCAAGTGACAGTGGCACGAAAGGAGGAAAAGCACATACCAGACTTCACAGCTACAAAAAGGGGAAGAAGCCATCACCCACACGTGGAAAAGGCGATCACGAAAGCTTGGCCACGAATCGGGAGCAGCGCTGACAAAGAGAGCAACTCTAAGGGCGGAGGAGCGGACGCAGCTCTCTCTTTCCGCCTCCCCGCCACAGAGAGCGGAGCCATCCATCGCCTGGGCTGCACCACGCACAACTTACGCAAGCGGCCGAGGCTCCCTCCCGCCTCACCAACCGACACAGCGGCCCCGAGCTGAGGCCGGAGACGAGACAGCAGAACGCGGCTCCGGCGACCACCCCCACCCTGACGGTCCCAGCGACCCGGAGCTGGGGAAAGCCGTTACCTTCGCTCTTGCCCAAGATGCGGCAGCAGAGGTTCTGCAGCAGAACGTTGGGGGATTTTTGGTCCGGGGTCGCCATCGCCGCCCAGCAGGACGGAAAAGCGGGGCGGTGGCGACAGGCAAGGAGGCAGGCGGAGAGGCGGCGCCGGCAGCCCCGTGCAAGCAGCCGGCTGCACGCTGGGCCGCTGCCTACGGCGCCATTTTAACAGAACCGCCGAAAGCCGCAGCGGCGTCCGCTCCGTACCCACAATGCCCCGCGCGGGGGGCGGCATCGCTGCGCGCTGCTCCCAACTCCCTCCGCCGCCGCGCCGCCTCACCGCCGCCGCCGCGTGGGGGTTCCGACGGTCCGCCGTTCCGGGCGTGCTCCGGGTCCGCATAGGAAGAACAAGTGGCACATGGCGGTGGGTTGGAATTAGGTTATCCTTAAGGTCCCTTCCAGTTAAAACCGTCCCGTGATTCTCTGACAGAAACATGCTATTAAAACAGCGTGACTGATGTGTCCGCTTGTATTCAAGCGGAATACAATCACTGATTTAGACTTGTCAATTTCACTAAAACTGCATCCCATGTTACGCTGCTGAAATAGTGTCATAGCAGTCAATTCTGTTACACTATTAAGGAATGTATTACAATGTATAATTAATGTATTAGGAATGTATATGTAATGTACTATATAGCCTCATTTCCCCAAGGATTGAGGTGCATGTGATTTTGCCATGTGTCAGTTTGTCCTGGTAACTGTTAGGTCTCTTGACAAATTTAAAACAAATTTAGTAGAAGGATACAGCTCACAAATATATAAACTGAAAAAAACGTTGTCAAAGTCAGCAGATGAGAGTTGTAAGATCTCAGTTAATGCCCTCTCAAAAAGAAGAGGACTTAGTTCTCCCTGCTTGATCTGCTATTGGCAAGCCACCTGATTGGCATACACATCCTGGACAGCATGCTGTAGCTAGCTCTGATCCAGCCAAAGTATCGGGTGCCTCTTGCCTGGCTGAACAGATCTCAGTAAATTTCACCCTTAGTGAATTTGCAGACAATGCAACGCTGGGAGGGAGTGTTAATCTGCCTGAGGGGAGAAAGGCACTACAGAGGGATCTGGATAGATTGGATCATTGGCCAAGGTTAACTGTGCGAGTTTCAATAGGGCCAAGTGTTGGGTTCTGCATTTTGGTCACAACAACCCCAAGCAACCCTACAGGCTTGGGGAAGAGTGGCTGGAAAGCTGCCTTGGTGTACTGATGGACAGTGGGCTGAATATGAGCCAGCAGTGTGTCCAGGTGGCCAAGAAACCCAACAGCATCCTGCCTTGTATCAGGAATGGTGTGATGAGCAGGACTAGGGAAGTCATCTTGGGCATTGGTGATGCCTCACCTCGAGTGCTGTGTTCAGTTTTGGGCACCTCAGTACAGAAAGGACATTGAGGTGCTGGAGCAGGTCCAAAGAAGGGCAACAAGGCTGGTGAGGGGCTTGGAGAATATGGCCTATGAGGAGAGACTGAAGGAACTGAGGCTGTTCAGTCTGGGGAGAAGGAGGCTGAGGGGAGACCTTATTGCTCTCTTCCAGTATCTGAAAGGGAACCGTGGTGAGAGTGGAATTGGTCCCTTCTCACCAGTGATAGGATGAAGGGAAATGGCCTCAAATTGCACCATGGGAGGTTTAGGTTGGATATCGGGAAACACTTCTTTACAGAAAGGGTTGTTAAGCACTGGAATTGGCTCCCCAGGGAGGTGGTGGAGTCACCATCCCTGGACGTGTTTAAAAGCCGTTTGGATGTGGTGCTCAGGGACGTGATTTAGCGGAGGGTTGTTAGAGTCAGGGTAGGATGGTTAGCTTGTGGTTGGACTCCATGATCTTTAAGGTCTTTTCCAACCTGAGCAATCCTATCTCTTCTATCTCTTCTGTGTCTTCTATCTGGATGCAAGAAATGATGGTGTAAGGGGCAGGGAGCTCTGGAAATAACATCACAAGCTGTCAGAAAAAGGCAGGAGAGTGCAAGTTGCTGGGAAAAACAGGACACAAAGTTTCATTACTTCCACTACTCACATAACTCCTTGCTTTTCTGCTTCATGAAAAGAACTGCCCTGCAATCCTGCCTTAGAAATGCTAGCTGATGTGGCAGTTGGCTACCATGTGCAGGTTATCTAGACTCTACCAGTTACAGTACTAGTGACCTATGGTCAGTTAAATAAAGGCTTAAGGTATTCCCCAGCATTTTTATGGACATGCAGAATAATGTCTTAATTTATTTCATTTTTGAAAAGTGAGAATGAAAAAATATCAACTATTTGTTCTTATCATATAGCTCAGGTCACGTTGCTGTTTGGCCTCTGAGCATTACACTATTAAAAAACTGAAGTTCTTAACCTTCAGATTTTTTTAGTGCAGAAAAAACATCAGCAAATGGGATTGAGTGCATTCTTTTGAAATACTGACAGTGACTAAAGAAAGAATTTAATTTATCCACAGAAGCTTAAAGTGACTTGTGTTCAGAGTTCCTACATAAGGAAGAGCTTTATGACAGAAGAATGTATAGTGAAATCCCGTAAAAGATGGAAGCTGAATACTGGCAAAGTAAGGCTAGAAAAATCTGTGTTTTAAATTCAGTGAACATATTTAATTAGTGGAGAGAGGTGTTGAAGGGCAAAGCGTTTCTCCAAATCTTGAACATTTTAAATCAGGCGTCTGTTGCAAGCTTATTGAGCAAATGCAAACTGACTCAGGAGCTACCATCTAAGTGTTGAGTGTTTGCTACTCACAAGATCAGACTAGAGGGCATTACAGTCCCTTTTGATTGTTTAGTTTTTTATGTTCATACAGCAATGCTAAGAAAAGATTCTTATTCTTATAAAAACCTGAGGCCTAATTGCTCTGGTTGTCTTAACTCCTTTATGATTATGTCTGCAGGGCACAGTACGTTATATAGCTCTAGCTTTTGGAGGAATACCAAAAAGAGTAATCATGCTGACACCTCCAGCATTTCACTGTGCCAGTTAGACATATTTTCAGTGTCATATAACAAATGTCAAGAATTATGGTGGCTGGAGACAATGGAGGATGCTATCTGTGCCTTAGCGAATGGAAGTCCCTTGAACCAGCACCAGTTGGCTTCTGTATCTGAGTACATATTTTCCTCACCTGCAGCCCCATAATGCCTACAGCCCTACTATGCTGCATCTGCAGTGTTAAGAGGCTCTTAAAGGTGTCTGCAGATCTAACTTTGGGAAGGCCATATGTTTTAGAGTGAAGTATTGTGACTGGATTTCGGTGGATCTTTTCCCTGTACATGAATAAGCCTCAGATAAAGAGAGAATTTGATCCAAACAGCTTAACCCTCCTGAGCATATTAGTACTGCATTATAGCCTACTTGTTGCAACTTTAACAAAATCATGGCCAGTTCTTTGCTTTCACACACTTCACTTTGACTGTTCTGTTGATTGAGGAGCCTGAAGTGTGTTCCATAATGCTATGTACCTACAGAAAGTCACAGTACACAGTACAGAATTGACATGTGTATCCAAAAAGAAACTGGTTTTGAAATACTGAAGAGATGCCAGAAGCCTTGATATAAGCTGTATGAAGGCAAAATTAAGGATACTTTCATTTTTTATTTTGAGACTTTTTTCAATATATAGAGTAAAATACAAATGCTGTGCTGCCTGGTGATCAGAAGGAACCTCCTATGTTTGTGCCAATGGCCTTTTGTCCTGGCACTAGGCACCACTGAAAAGAGCCTGGCTGCCTCCTCTGTGCATCCTTCCCTCAGATGTTTACACTGATGAGATCCCCAGGACCTTCTCTTGTTCTGACTGAGCAGCCCCAGCTCTCTCAGCCTCTCCTCATAGGAGAGGTGCTGTTAATCATGAACAGAAATCCTTTCCAACACGAATATATACAGACACACACCAAAACCCACTCAGTGTTAAATGTGATTTATTACGCAGGGACATGCAGCATTATGTATCTTTCTAATAAATAGTTTAACTGCAGCCAGCAAACAGGCACTTCAAACTACTAGATATTTTCTAAGTTCCTACCCTTCCCATAGCGTCAATGGCCTCAAGTCGGCCAGGGGAGATTCAGGGTGGATGTATGAAAAATTTCTTCTCCAAAAGAGTGGCCAGATACTGAAATGGAGTGCCCACAGATACGGTTCAGTTACCGTCCTTGGAAGTGCTCGAGTAACATTTAGATGTTGTACTGAAGGACATGGTTTGCTGGGGAAATACTGGTGGTAGGTGGACAGTTGGGCTGGATGATCTTAAAGGTCTTTTCCAACCTTGGTGATTCTGTGATCACAACTATGCCTCATATATAGAGTGGGAGGGAAAAAAAAGCAGATCAAATTGTAGTTTTATGAAAATGTTTTGCAAGAACACTTCTGTTTTGTTGAAAACTCCAAAAATACTGTCAAAACATTTTTCTAAGTTCGTGACCAGTATTTCATTTTTAAAAGCAGAATAATGATGTTGGAAAAGAGCCTGGAGAACGAAACTCTTTAATAAAACTGGGCTAGTATTTCCAAATGTATGTTTCATGTTGTATTCAGCTTTAAGAGTTTTGACAATGTTTGGCTTCAGTATTTTAGAGCAAATGCTTTTGATCTTTCTCACACTGTATTCAGTGTTGGTGCAGCCTCATCTAGAGTATTACTGCATACAGTTCTGGGCTCCAGAATTTTAATATGATAAGATATCTGAATGCATCCAGAGGAGGGCAACAAAGCTGGCACCAGAGCTGAAGACATGTTTTGTGAGGAAAGGGTGAGGACATCATCCCTGGATGCACTCAAGGCCAGGCTGGATGTGGCTCTGAGCAACCTAGTCTGGTGGTTGGCAACCCTGCACATAGCAGAGGGGTTGACACTTAGATGATCATTGCGGTCCTTTTCAACCCAGGCCATTCTATGATTCTATGACATTTGGGCTGTCAAGTTTGGAGAAGGCTGAAACATGACCTTACTGCTCTCTGCAGCTTTCTGGAGAGGAAGTGGAGAGGGAGGTACCGAATTCTGCTCCCTGCTATCTAGTGATAGGATGTGTGAGAATGGCTCAGAGCTGTGCTGAAGGAGGGTCAGACTGGGCATTAGGACAAACCTTTCTACCTCGTGAGTGGTCAGACACTGGAACAGGCTTCCTAGA